CTCTACTCTACTGCTGCCTGTCAAGCAGTTGTAGACTTCTCTGATTTCTGTGTTGTCATGTCTTGGAATTTCCCGTAGATGTGTGTGGTCATGGTCGCATGGCTCATTGTCATACAAGCTCTGAGGCGGGGGTCGATGAGTCAAGCATGAGTCAAGCGTATTTGACTTGCACTTTCAGCAAGGACGGTCATGCTAATGATTGCGGAAGAACCATAAAAGATATATGGAGTTGCCTCTGCCGCTCTCCCGGCAAGGGTGCGAAATCTTGGGAAGGGGGGACGCAGCACAGGCATCACCCCATGGGCAGTGGCCACGCGCGTTGCCGGCCATGCCAAGTTTGGAAGACCAACACCTCTTTTTGATATCAAGCACTTGATCTGGCATATGGTCCTGTTGGTACCGTAGCTTTGCTTGTCCGCTGATCTTGACGTGGCGATTGCACACAGCTGGACCATGGCTTTATAATACAACAAATCAAACATATCTTCTGATGCGATGTTGATGATGGCGAGAGACAGACCAAGTCCACAATATGTATTGCCGCCGCTGCGTGAGGTGCTCGCGTCGTCGCTGCTGCAGTCCCCCAATGCTGTAGAAACTGGGATGAGCGCAAGTTTGAAAGACTGAGAGGCTGACCAGCTAACTGATGGGTATTGCTCAGCTCCTGCCTGGCATGTCAGCAGAGAACGCCGCAGATGACGGAGAGGCACCGATGGAGCCAGGGCGGGTGTGGCGCAGCGGCGGAGCCCAAAACCAGGGCCTAGCGCAGTGCCTGGCCGCCCTGAACGCCCTGATTGCAGCCGGCAGGTTCGGTGCAGCCGCTGAGCTGGCGCTCTCAGTTGCACCCCTTTCAACGCAATGGCCGCCGCCGGCCGACACGACAGGGCCAGGTAATGGCAGCGCAGGGGGCACCCTTAGCAGCGACATTGACTGCAGCAGTGGGGACAAGGTGGAACAGGAGTGGCAGGTGAGCTGGCTGCTTGCGGCTGTGCCTGTGGACACTGTGAAACAATTGGGCGGTGCGGCATTGGTGCGGTGTGTGATTCTGGACCTGTCTGCTCGTGCTGCTCCAGGTGATACTGCGCAGTGACGCACCTGGCCATGCCCCAACAACCCGCCCCGCCCGATGCCTTGCAGGCCGGCTGCGCGCAGCTGCGCGTGTGGGCGCTGCGTCAGCTCCGGCACCTTGGGCGGGGGCTTGATGTCGAGGCCGCTCACGTGTGTCTGCTGCAGCATGTTGCAGAGGCCGGGGTCGGCAGGTTTGGGGGCCTGGCCTGGTTCAGAAGCCATGACTCTGCTGCACTAAGCTCCGCCGGGGCCGGCGCCGATTGCGACGCTGCCGGCCGTGGCGCCGCCGCCGTGGCAGGCGCGGCCGCCGAGCTGCGGCTCGCGGCGCGAGCGGCGTTCCACCTGGCGCCGTGGCCGCGGCAGGCGTGGGCGGGGATCGCGCGTGCGCTCTCCCACGGCCTTCCGAAACTCGAGGGCGGCGCCGGCAGCATGTCTCACCGCTCAGGCGGTAGCGCAGTCGACAGCGCCGTCGCACCCTTGCAGAGCCCCTCCCCAGACCCCACGCCTCGCCGCGGCACGGGCGGCAGCAGCACGCGTTTCGAGCGGCGCGGTAGCCAACGGCGCTCGCGCGGCAATGACGGCGACGAGGCCGCGTGCGACCGCTGGCAGCCGGCAGCGGCTCCTGCCCAGGTCCGGGCGCTGAGTACCAAGCAGGCAAAGGTGCGGCTCCGCACGCCTCATGTGAGCAATCGCTCAAGACACAGGCAATGTTCATGCTGCTGCAGCGAATGCATGCCTGCTGTTTGCCACTCCACATGACACGCCCAACGACCCTTCATCACAGACCCGACCCGCTCGCACGCACGCACGCAGCATCCACACACACACGCCTGCCCAACCGCACACACGTGCGCGTGCACCCACGAACGCACCGCCGCACACACGCACGCACGCACATGCGCATGCATACATGCCCGCCCGAACGCAAGCAAGCACACACCCACATAATGCAGGTCATCCGGCGCCTCCTCACCGCGCGGTCGCGCAGCGCCACCCTGGAGGCCGACCTGCTTGAGGCGGCCAGGGCGGCCCTGCCCACCACGCACCTGCAGCTGGCCGGCCAGCGGCTGCTGCTCGCCGCGCGCGCGCAGCTGCCGGCGCTCACGGCGCTGCCGGGGGCGCCGCCAGGCGAGGTGGCGGCCGCGCTGTTTGCGCGCCCGTTTGCGGCCGCGGTCAGCATGGTGGGTGGGCGGGGGCCAGCGGGTTGCTCACCTGCATGCATGGTGGGGGATGAACCGCAGCCATGTGCCCTTGCTCTGAATACCACCTTTGATGCTCCCTTTCAAAGTCGTCGTGCACACTGCCCTTTAAATCAGACAAGACGCCGCAGTCCAAGCCAGATGAGCGGCAACCACGCAGCACTCAAAGCCGCACTCAATCCCGTCATGCTGCCCCTATCATATGTCTCCCCAAAGGCCGTCGGCGCCATCATATCAGATCCGTTTGGCGACCCAGCACCCTTTGTGCCATCTCACGCTGTCACTGGGGCCGGCCGCGGCCCCAGGGGCTTCCGGCGCATCTACCCCTCTGAGAGCGCCCCCGGAACCAGGGCGCCCCAGGCGGCAGCCGCGTCAGCTCATGTAGTGCCAGGCGCCGAGGCCGCAGGCGCGCACCGATGCCGTATGAGCCTGGGCGTCGTTGCATGTCTCTGCAGCGACATAGAGGTGGGAGGTTGCGCGTGCATGCATGCGCGTATGTGCGCTTGGGTGCAGGCGGTTGATCGTGCTTGCCTGCGTGCGTGCATCCGCGCGCGTGCGCGCACGCGCGTGTGTGTTTGTGTGTGTGTGTGTGTGTGTGTGCTTGCGTGCATGCATGCATGCGTGCGTGCGTGCGTGCATGCGCGCGCGCGCGTGTGTGTGTATGTCTGTGTGTGTTTGTGTGTGTGTGTGTGTTCTTGCGTGCATGCATGCTTGCGTGCGTACGTGCGTGCGCCCGCGCGTGTGTGTGTGTATGTCTGTGTGTGTGTGTGTGTGTGTGTGTGTGTGTGTGTGTG